GCAATGCAACGTTTCCGTTACGGTGGGAAAACAGTCTTTGCGGCTACCCGCTATTATCGTCAAGGATAACGGCAAGCAGCTACCATTGCTGATGGGGCGAAGTTGGCTTGAAAGGCTCGGGCTTGACTGGAAAAGCGTGTTTGCTATAAATGTAAGCGACTCTCACAAGGTAGAGGCGGTTAAAAAGAAGTTCCCAGGGGTGTTTTCTAAGCAACCTGGAAAAGTAAAAAACTATCAAGCAAGGATAGTTTTAAGCCAGAATTGTACGGCTATTTTTGGCAAGGCCAGAAACGTCCCATTTGCGCTTCAAGATAAAGTGGAAGGCGAGCTAGAAAGGCTAGAGAAAAGCGGTGTTATACGCCCCGTAAATCGGAGCGATTGGGCCACGCCAGTAGTCGTAATCCAAAAGAAAGATGGTTCACTGAGGCTGTGCGGGGACTACAAAGTCACCATTAATCCTGTTTTAAAGACCGACCACTACCCATTGCCTAGACCGGAAGATTTGTTCTCTGCCATAGCTGGCGGCAGAGTGTTTTGTGTGTTGGATCTTTCGGCCGCGTATCAGCAGATTCCGCTCACTGCCGAGTCCCGACCACTGCTAACTATTAATACGCACAGGGGGCTGTTCGAGTTCCAGCGCTTACCATTTGGGGTAGCCAGTGCGCCAGCCATTTTTCAGTCCTTCATGGATGAGGTGCTCAAAGGCATACCGCACGTGGGATGTTACATAGACGACGTCATTGTGTCGGGAAAAGACTTAGCCGACTGTCAAAAAACGTTGGAACTAGTCCTGCAGCGGCTGAGTGACTACAACGTGACACTGAAAGAGGAAAAGTGTCGGTTTTTTCAGAGCACTGTGACTTATCTCGGTCACACTGTGTGCGCTGAAGGTATATATCCTACAGAAGAAAAGATAAAGGCGATCACAGAAGTGCCAGAGCCCACTTGCCAAACAGAGCTAAAGGCTTATCTCGGCATGTTAACCTTTTATGCAAAGTTCTTAAGTAACCTTGCCTGCGTGGCAGAGCCATTGTACCGTCTGTTGCGCAAGGGCGAAAGGTGGTCGTGGACACGGGAGTGTAGCGAAGCATTTGCTTCTACGAAACTGTTACTTGTCAAGAGTAATGTGCTCACTTTTTACGATGTGGCGAAACCAATGGCTATGACATGTGACGCTTCGTCGTATGGATTGGGGGCTGTCATTTTTCATGAGACCGCAGAGGGACACGAAAGGCCAGTGGCATTTGCTTCTAGAACACTTACAGCCGCAGAGAAAAACTATGCTCAGTGCGAACGCGAAGCATTAGCACTGATGTTTGGGTTAAGAAAATTCCACCGCTACTTGTATGGACGAGAGTTCACTCTTTATACAGATCATCAGCCATTGCTCGGAATATTAGGCCACGACAAGCCGGTGCCTGCGCTTGCTGCAGCTCGAATGCAAAGATGGGCAATTACCCTGGCAGCGTACCAGTATAAACTAAAATACCGAAAGGGAAGAAATGTTGAAGTGGCTGACGCTCTGTCTCGGCTTCCACGGCCTATTGTAGCGGCCGATGAACCTTCCGAGTGTCTCTTGCTATTTGACAGCATGCCCCTCAAAGCGGATGACGTAGCGCGAGCCACACGACGTGATCCCACCTTGTCTCGCGTGACGCACTTCATCTTAAATGGATGGCCTTCAGAGTGCTCTGAAGCATTTAGACCATTTTATTCCCGGCGCGACGAGCTATCAGTAGAGCAAGAATGCATAACGTGGGGATCAAGGGTGATCATACCTGATAAGCTCCAGCTACAGGTCTTGCAGCTATTGCATGAGGACCACCCGGGATCTAGTCGCATGAAAGCGTTAGCAAGAAGCTTTGTGTGGTGGCCTGGCCTCGACCTTTCGGTTGAGAGCTACGTTCGACAATGTCAGGTTTGTCAGGCCGTCCAGAAAGCTGCTTCACCGGTTCCTTTGCAACCATGGAATTATCCCACAAGGCCCTGGCAACGCGTGCACGTCGATTATGCGGTAAAGGGCTCTCAGGCGTTCTTGGTTCTCGTCGACGCGTTCTCTAAATGGATCGAGGTCTCGCCTATGTCATCCACTACTGCTAACAAAACCATTGAGAAGCTACGTAGTATGTTTGCCGCGTATGGTCTGCCAGAGGTACTGGTGAGTGATAATGGACCGCAGTTCATTTCCGAAGAGTTCGCGGCCTTCTTGAGTGTAAACGGTGTAAGGCATGTCAAGACACCTCCTTATCACGCGGCTTCTAACGGAGCGGCCGAGCGTTTAGTGCAGACTACCAAACAAGCACTGTCAAAGCATGTCTTGCAGGACAAAGCTAGCCACCACAAACATTCATTTCGGGAACGCTTGGACAGCTATCTAATGAGTTACAGGACTACTCCGCACAGTACCACTCGCCAGACCCCGGCAGAATTATTCTTGAAAATACAGCCACGGGTAAAGCTGTCATTGCTAAAACCGGATTTCGAGCTCTCCATGCGGGAGCAGCAGCAACGTACCAAAGTGCAAAAGGACATGTCTAGGGGGGTTCCGCGATGTTTTGCTGTGGGGGACGCTGTGTGGGTGAAGACTGTGCGAGGTGAAACAGTGTCGTGGGAAGATGGTGTCGTGACACAGGTTATCAGTCCCGTAACCTATCTGGTGAAAGTGTCGCAGGCGGTGCGATTTACGCATTCGGACCACATCAGAGCCCGCCACGGAAGCCAGGATTCTTCAAGTTATCCGCAGGCACAACCTGCTCCAACGGCATCCGTAGACACGACTCCACCGACGGTTCCGAGGGCGTGTGGGCCAGTCGCCGGGTCGCCTCTCGTAAATCCACACGCAACCGACTCTGCGACGTCTCTCCTTCCGGCAACTGTATCGCCCACGGCCGGAGCAGCTGCCTCCGGCTCGCCGGACCAGCCCAGTGCCGACGACGCGCCACCTGCAGCCGAACTTCCAACTCTGCGTCGTAGTGCACGTGTACGACATGCCCCGAACAGATACCAGTCCAGTGACTTTCGGAAGTAATCTGAAGGGGAAGGAGTGTTGTAGCGTGACGTCACTTATCACTGCGCACCCAGTGCGCGCATTCCTGTGCGACCGATCACGTGGTTCTGCGCCTATATATGGTGCGTCTTCTAATAAACTTATCAGTTGCTTCTTGGTATGCTGTCTGCTGCTCACGTTATTACAAAAACTATGTTTTCTTTAGAGGTGGTGTACATCTCCAATTACTCTATAGGAGTAGCGACACTGTTATTACACATATAACGTACAATTCATCAAAGCAGTGCAGAACAAGCATAAAGTAAAAAAAAATAACCAATTTCAATTTCCTAGCTGCACCTATATCTAACATGTTCTAGTTAGTTCAGTGATTAAGTGTATTTTGGTTCGTCGGCAAAATGAGCTTGTCGTGAAAGATTGTTTAATTTCAGAAGGAATTGAGGTCCACATGGACACACCAGCGAATTTAGCAGTCATTTTTCCATAGTTTGTGCGAGCTTTAGGTAAATGGAAATTCTCACGCACAGAGAGCCGAGTTCTATTATATTAGTAAAAAATTCAGGTGAGAAACTTTCTATGCGCACATCATGATGAATAAGGCAAAACATGATGACTGCTTATTTTAAAGTAAATAATTTGTCAAGGGGAAGTATGTTTAGGTCAACGTATAGGGGGATAGAGCGACAAAGGTACGGGCTGAACGTCATTAGCCACACCGCTTGGTTTTGGAGGCGTCGTAGATTAACTAGATGTGTGTTGTACGTGTTTCCCCAAGATGATAAGCAATATGAAAGGTGGCTGTGAATGTAAGAATAGTATAGTGACAGGATAACATGTGGTAGAAAGTATGGTTGTGCTTTTAGAATGACATGAATATCGAAAGAAACCTTTTTAAGAAGGGACTGCGCTTGAGCATGGAACTTCAGATGTTTATCCAAGATGACGCCTAGAAACCGAGTGCTATCAGAAGCAGGTATTGTGTGATGATTTAATACAATTGAAAGAGGCAAGGTAACCATTTTTCTGTTGAGAATAAAATGCCATAAATGTTGTTTTTGTAGCATTCATTTGCAATGATTATTTAAGCACCACTGGTGAATGCTGATAAGGTCCTTGTTTAGTGCATTTTGAAGTGCGATTGGATTGCTGCTGGACGTAAATATAGTCGTATCATCCGCATATAGCAGACATTTAGAGCTTTGAAGCACACTAGGCAAATCATTAATAAATAACAAGAAAAGTATAGGACCCAGATTCGAACCCTGAGGAACACCCCTGTTAACTATTTTTGCGGAAGAAAGGTGACTCTAAACTTGGTCTGACGTAGCTCTTGTAAAGAAGATCGTGGACCTGCTGAGGAAACAGCTTAGTGTTACGCCGCAAGAAACCCAACACCTTACATGCCTTTGCTGTAATGAAATCGACATGCCTGTGTCAACACATAGATGATGTGAGGAATACGCCCAAGTACTTATACTTGGAAACAGTTTTTAACGGATACAGTAATCAGAGGATGATAATTGCGATGATTAGCATGTCATGTCATCTCTCACTTACGTGGAGGAGTAAGAGCCCTATGCAGGGGTGGCATGATGTTTCAAAAATTTATGACGCCTTTTCAGCATGCAAATTATTGAGGTTTCAATCGCATGGAGGCATATGTAGCTTTGTTGCACTGTGCAACCTAAGTTAAAATGCCTAATAATGAGGTGCTTTTATAGTGTTCTGTTGGAAGCACCTCACCAAAGGAAGTATTTCAAGTTGATTCATTACTGGAGGACACAGCAGAAAATAAAATACGTATCACCACGCTACTAGCAGCTGGCCAATGCCGACACCCTGCTATTGTTTCATCCTTCCTCTCATATTTGTGGTTATGTCACCCCTCTTCCTATCTTTCCTTAGTGCTCCCAGCATGGTGCATTTTATGTTGTGCTTCTTACTGAGGTATTGCAGTCACTTTCTGAGCCTGTTTGCGATTTCTGGTGCCCAGCCCCATTGCCAAGGGTGGAGCGGGCGAGCGTTCCACACAGCGCCATCCAGCATCCCTGGGTGGCCTTTCTGAGCTCCTGTGTGCGACTGGCCTTGAGCGACTGGAACTAAGTGGTGCCCATGGCTTGGCTCTCCTGCCCCTAACCATGCCAACACACAGTCTGGCCCAAAGGTGCCAGCATTTGCGAGCACTGGTGGGTATCTGTCACTTTATGCTCTTGGCACTTGATTTTCCCGTACTCTCACAACATCGTGACATTGATGAAAGCAGCAGTTAGCATATCCAAAATAAAACTCTTGTAGTGACAAAAATACGGGCTTGCTAGAGACGACGAAGAAGACGTTTGTTGTGGCAGAGGCTCGTGCTGCTGCAGCTGCTGCTGAAACCGCTGGCTGCTGTCTCTCTGCTGTTCGGCCCATTAAACGGTTGCATCACCCCGGCGTGGCGTCTAACAGTATTTTTACACTCTGTTATTTGGCTGTACTTGCGACCAGGAAGAAGCAAAAGAGCAAATTACAGCAATATAGTGACTAACAGAGCATTGACCTCAATAATCTGATCTGCAGCAAAGCACATCAGTATTCATGCATGCGGCATGGAATGTTCTAGTATTATTACTGACGCTTGCGAAAGCTTTCCAAAAAAATTGAAACTTCTCAGCATTTGGCTTTTTGTGCCTAATCTTGACAGAATGATCTCAGACAATTGTGAAGTTTCACAAACACTGTGGCGGGGTCTGTACCGAGTGTTGATAAATGTTTTTGTGGGTAAAACTCGGAGAGTCGGAATACATAAAGACCAAGGAAGAAACAGGCATGCAGTATATAAACTACTTCTAGTCCTGCGATTGATTACATATGGCACTTTTAAGAAATTAATGACAGTATAACTCTGAGAGAGAATTTTTTGTTCAGCTAGTTAGAAAATCATCTTGTGTAACAGTGCACCACAGGCTTCCATTACATTTCCGCCACTTCCATATCAATGGTGGTTTGCACCCTGCTTCACACATCGGTGCAGACCTCGTATTCCTACTTCACAGCCAGCTAAAAATGACACAGCTGGCTGGCCTCCTGTATGGAGACTGCTTCATTTTAGCCTATGCATTCAACTGCTAACACCATGTCGCGCAACCTGTGTATTTATGTTCGTGTCCGATAAAGCGGGGGGTAATTTTTTTACAGTAAAAGCTGTTATGAGATCACAACTCAGGTATCAAGCAGCGCCGTAGACGTCCGCCGGTGCCACCGGTGTCTGTAATCACATCGCGTGAAATGAGAAAAAAAACCTAGTACTAATTACACAGTGTGGCTCGAACCTGTGACCGCTTGGTGCCAGCCTATTATTCTACCACTGAGCCACGCCGGTGCCTGGGGCTTGTTGGCAAACTGGCCTTAGGCAGGCTTGATGTCAGGAAAGAAATCGCGTTAATACGATTCATAAAGCGTTTTGAAACAGCGAAAGAACAACTACCGTATTTGCTCGTGTAATCCTCGCACTCCCATAATTCTCGCACCTCCCACATCGCCCAAGAAAAATAGGATTTTTTTTCCTCGAGTTAATTATCACACCCCCGAAAACTGCCGCAATAATGTCGTCTGCTCGTTCCAACCACTGGATGGATGGATGGATATGGCTGTACCCTTTAGATCAAGCAGTGGCTAGCGCCACCAAGCCGTAATACTTAATGAACCAAAAACTAGATTTATTTTTTTTTCCCTTTAAAAAGCTAGGTTGAGGATTCGTACTTTGCAATGAAGGGTTTAATTTTATTTTTTGTTTAATTTTATGTTTAATTTTATTAATTGTTTAATTTTAATTTTATTTTTTATTTTGTTTATTTTTATTTTATTTATTTATTTATTTTTAATTTTATTTAATTTTATTTCAATGTTTAATTTTATTAATTTATCAGATAACCTTCTTCTAGTTAATTCTACCCGCTTAAAGTCTATTTTGCCCTCCCTGTCCCTAAACCCTAGTGCTTTGAAAAACTCTGCGCCATCATCCTTGAACTATAGGGTGAAGCCCTTTACAGAACATTATCAACTGCCAATGGCAGTTTCTTCTTCCTCTCCACACGTACTGCATACCATGTCTACCCTTTCGTATTTGGCCTGATATGTCTTGGTTTGCAATACTCCCGTTCTGGCCTCAAACAGTAGAGAACTACCCCGAGTATTATCATAGATCCTTTCCTTTGCAATTTCCTGCTTAAACGTTTGATAGATCTCTAGTGCGGACTTCTTAATCATGCCAATTCTCCACATATCGGTCTCAGCTTCCTTCACCTTCTTCCTAACTGATAATTCTTCTTAGTTTGGCCCACTGCTGTTTTCTAAGTACTTACCAGTCAATTTTCTGGTTGGCTTCTTCCATTTTGTATCGACATTCTTCATGTACAAGTAGCTGAATACCTTCCTATCCTAACGCTCCTCCCCCATTTCTCTCAATCGCTTCTCAAATTTTATGTTGCTGCTAGCTTTCCTGGCCTCAAACGATGTCCATCCCATATCACCTTGTACTCCCTGATTTGGTGTATTCCCGTGAGCTCCTAAGGCAAGCCTGCCTATTCAATGTTGCTTAATTTCTAATCTTGCTTGAACTTCTGATCTCATGCACAAGACCGCATTGCCGAACGTCAGATCAAGAACCATGACCCTTTTCCATATTCCTTTCACAACATCATACCTATTGTAATTCCACAGTGCCCTGTTTTTCATTACCACTGCATTCCTGTTACCTTTAGTCGTCACGTATATTTCGTGTTCCTTTAGGTACTCGGCCCCATTGCTTATCCCTATGCCCGGATATTTGAATTTATCTGTTATCTTTAGCGTGACCTCCTGTATTCTAAGCTCACTACCTATACTGTCATTCAAAATCATAACTGCTGACTTTTCCTTACTGAATCTGAAATCTAACCTATCTCCCTCATTACCGCAGATGTCTAACAATTTCTGCAAATCTTCCTTGTTGTCGGCCATTAGCACTATATTATCTGCGTACATCAATGCTGGTAGTGCCTGTTCAATGAGTTTTCCTTGTTTGACGAAAGAAAGGTTGACGCCCAGTTCACTTACCTCTAATTTGGCCTCTAATCCTTGTAGGTACATCATGAATAATAAGGGTGACAGGGGGCACCCCTGCCTAAGCCCCCGTTTTCCCTCTGCAGGCTTGAATACTTGTTTTTCCCACTTTATAACTACCTTGTTACCTTTATAGATATCCTTTAAAAGATTAGTGACTCCATCTTCCACACCTAGTGTGTACAGTATTCCCCACAAGTCCTCTTGAACCACGCTATCGTACGCTCCCTTGATATCCAAAAATGCTAGCCACAGGGGCCTGTGTTCCTTTTCTGCTATTTCGATGTACTACGTCAGTGAGAAAAGATTGTCTTCCAACCTCCTGTGTTTCCAAAACCCATTCTGCAGTTCCCCCAGCAGCTCCTCTTCCTCTATCCATGCCTGCAGTCTTTCCCTTATAATCTGCATCGCCAGCCTGTAGACCACCGATGTCACTGTTATAGGATGGTAGTTATTTATGTCAAGCTTTGTCCCCCTTTCCTTAATAGATCATGCTCATCTTGCTAAAATTCCATCCATCGGGAACTTCACCATCGATTGTTATATTTTGCTCACTGCCTCTCTCAAAGCCTGCTTAGACTTCGGACCTAATGTCTTTATCAGCATAAATGGAATGCCATCTGGGCCTGTTGATGTACTACTAGGAACCCTTTTCTCAGCCCTTTCCCACTCTCGTTGTGAGAATGGGGCCATTGCGCCACTTGATTCATCCTTGTCTATTGTGGCGCGTAAAGCACTTCTTTGTTGAAATTTTTTCTGTCACCCTTGTTCTTATATATTCAACAGCTTCGTCCCCTTCTAGCCTGGCACCTTGAGCTGTAGTTATAAACCTCTGCTCTAGGCTCGTCTCATTTCTTAGGAAGTTTAGATGGTTCCAAAAATTCGCTGCTGCCTTTCTATCTTTTTTGTGTACTTTTGTCAGCCACTGAGCTTCTTTTTTTTCTTATCTTTTTATTAATCAGAAGGAATGCATCCCTTCTACAGCTTAGAAAGATTTCCCATTTTCTTTCAACATCATCTGTCAGTTCACCCCGCTGCTTAGCATGTCTGTGTTCCCTAGAGGCTTCCTTACGTTTTGCTATGGCTCTCTTAACTTCCTTATCCCACCAACTTTTGGGTTTGTGTCTTCATTTCCGGCGTGACTTGTCACATGTCTTAGCAAGCTCTAGCTCAAACAGTCTAATTAGATTTGTGCATGCCCACACTGTTTCATTATCTTCAGTGATCACTTTCTCAATTTGTTTAGTGGCTATTTCAATTTGCCTTTTTGAATAAAAATTTTTCTGTAGTTGCTCGTCTTGTCTCCTTCCCACTTTCACTCCTTTTCCAAAACTAACCTTGATACGTTTGTGATCACTACCCAGACTTCTGGAGCCACTTTCATCTATGTGCATTCTCCTGAGCTTATCATACATCCTATGTGACATCAGTGCGTAATCTATCGTCGAATGCAGCCTTCCTACCTCCCATGTTATTTACCCCTCACACTTCTCAGTACTGTTGCAAATGATCAAATCAAGCCTTTCACACATATCCAAGATCACTTTGCCTGTCGGGTCGGTATACCCATCTATATCTTATATGTGCGCATTCGTATCTCCTAGTATATTTATCTCGCACTCCCCTTCTAACTCCTGAATGTCCTTTGATATGCATGCTACCATTGCCTGGTTTTCCTCTCTGGCCTTAGCTCCCGTCCACAAGTATACGAAACCAAGGAGTATCATTTGCCCTGCCACTTTTCCTTTTAGCCATAAATGTTCCTTGCACTCTTGCTTGACGCTTTGCCAGTCTGTATATTTATTAATGAATGCCACTGATGATGATAGCATGCGCCATCTGGCGCCATCTCTTAAGCATCAAGTGTACTATTTCACGGAGATTCAATCCAATCCAAGCCAAGCCGAAGTGGCCAGTGTGTGTTGCGGCGTCTTTTGTATCTTGTGTCGGTAATCTTGGCACGTTATGGGGCGATACTGAAGCCATACGGCTGCTTCAAGTTGCAAGTGATAGATCATGCGCTAAACAATGGCAACAGGGCCGCCGGTAGGCCCTTTGGAGCCTACGAGTTTTGTGTTCGCTACTGGTCACGGCAGCTCAAAGC